CCAAACTAAATCATGATGTATTGACGAATGGTAATATAATTAGGATCCAAAGGGCACATTGTTGGTGAATCGGTGGCTCTCCAAGTGAGATTTAGAGACCACCAGGGGGTCCTAGAGGAGTTTCCAATGAGCTCAAGAAAAATAAAGTACTTTTATTTTCTAATATTTAATTCTACAAGTGTTAACGCGCTGAGGGTAAATGTAAAGATGAGCAGGTTATCTGACCCATACGTTTCACTGTATATATTTCCTATATAAGCATATAAATAAATAGGCTACAAACACGTAATTCTAACCCCCACAAAGGGATTGCTATGCTCCAACCTAAACCTCTGACGTATAAATAATTCAAGCTGTTTAAATAGTATTTAAAAGTACGAATGTGTGTTAGTACCTGGACAATCTGGCTCGGTTGCACAGACAAAGTGGGGAAGTTTCCTCGGCCGTGAATGGGGACGGCCTCCCCCAAGATCGAGTCCAAACGCTGCACCTGATCCCAAGACAAGACACTGAACCGCCGACTCTGATCCGATGCATCACCTCGAAACATGGCGATGTTAACTTTCGGCCCCCAACCCCCAAAAACAAGAAATCAGCAGAATGTGAATCAGCGCTTAGTCCCACCTCAGATCTGTGTTTTCTCTCTTTAAGTACAAGTGATATGTTCCCGTCTCCGATTATTATCAGTGCTGAGATGAAGAGCAGGAAAAGTTAGTCACAAGCGTAGAGAGGTTGGACTGGAATCATCCGTGTCCTGCAGAGCGCGCTGCTGAGAGTTTAAAGCCTCCTCATTAGCATGAGCTCTGTGATAGGCTGCTGTGTTGGCTCATTGATTATGCCGCTGCGTCTGCAGGGAACACCCTTGATGTGACGCATTTGACAGCCTCCTCCTCTGCATGGTGCACCCTACTGCTGCGTGCTGACAGGGGTTTCCCTCAAACAAGCATAATGATCTAACAGTCTTATGCTCTCCAACACCTCAGCTGCAGAGTGATTAAACGACGACCTATTAATGTAGTATTTGGACATTTATGTCTGATTGAAAGAAACAAGTCAAACTAATTAATTGTAGAGATCGGGTAGTTAACAGCTGTGAAAACACCACCTCCACTTTTCTTGCTATGATGCATTTCTCTATTTGCCTAGGGAATGTTTGCAGAGCATGCAGGATGTTTTTTCAGCAACGCCCTACTTCATAATCATACATCACGCACAGGAACCCAAAGAAGATCATAAGTGCGTCAAAGCAAGAGAAAGAAGTTAAAGGTCCAGCTGGAGGCTGCTTCAACTGCAGCCACGTTTGGCTTTTGCAAGCAAGATTATCCCAAAAGTCTCAAGCCCTGTTTACTAACCTCTAGGCCTGTGTTTCTCAATCTCTTTGGCTTGTAAGCCTAAACCAAACAAATGCTTGCTTGGTACCCCTTGTCACCAGTTCAAAAAGTGTTTTGTTTTTTACTTTTCTTTTTGCCTTTCATTCAAAATAATATAATGAGATCTGCACAGGAAAAAGTAACCAGTAATTCACATGCCCATGGGCAAATTTAATATAGAAAAGCTGAATTAACATAATTTTGTGTGACATTAAATGTTTTTCTGCTTTTCTGTCTTTATCTGATGGCCCATCAGATTTCCCGGTTGCTGTAAACTATGTAGACATTACTTCGGCTTTAATTTCCTTTCCTTTTGCTTATTTTTTCCTTTATAGTCTAAAATATATACCACCTTAAGCCTTAAGGCAGCTTTATTAACACAGTGCATTTACTGTATGGCAACACAAAAGTGACTCAAAACTGAAATGCAGAAATGCCAAAGATGTTTTGAATGTTTTCACCATTTTCTAGTTTGTCCACCAAGTAGTGAGAAGTGTCTAAACTCTAAATGTCTGCACAGGATAGGCCTACTTCTTGCAGCTGTTTAAATACGGTATACTGTATGTGTATACAGTATATCAAAAATGTTTATGTTGTGGGTTGTGTATAAAAATTACTAGGCTGATATATCAACAGATTTTTTTTTAAATTCTCAAACATTTATTTCACTGAAATCCAGGCTGTACTTGTCAGTAGCTGAGTATTTAAACTGCGATAGCAGGCTAATTAAACTATAATACACACAATTTTATAAGCCCTTATCATTTTTAGTAAATGGTTGTGTAATAAGTGGAGAGCTGTTACCTTTGAATTGTTTGTTTATTCAACCAGCGGAAAATTAAAGCATACAGCCACACAAACATTTTCTCATGATTGTGCAAGATTTTAAGAAAAGGCTATGATAACCCCTAATGCTCCTTTTATTGCAGCTTTCTATTTAAGTTTCCATATTCCTCAGTGCCATTTCTTTCCATTCTGCCTCCTTATCTGTGGTGTTTTTTGTTTGTTTTGGTGCAGATACAGAGACATTCCCCTGCTCTGAATAGAACATTTGTTGGGTTTATGCTTAATAACGTAGCAGTTAGTTCATCTGAGGAGGACTGTGTTCATATGTGTACTGTACACATATTAAATTACTTTACTGAGCTGGTGAATCTGTGATCTGTTAGATGTAGTCAGTGATCTCCACTTTAACAATTCACTCTTTAATCTTCACTGTTCACTATTTCTTTCAGTTTGTACTGGGGTCGCATTGTTGCTGTCTCTATACATTTTCCTGCCCCATGTGTAGCTTAGTATGTGCTTAAATGCAGTAAATATCCCTTAAAGAAGGGCCGTACACAATGGTAGACTCTAATCACAATAGCAGATGTTACTTTTTCAGTGCTGATTAGACCTTAACATTTAACAGTATGCATTTTCCCATTGAACTATACAGGTGAAAACTCTAGTAAAATGACCCACATATGCCATCATTTATAAAATCTCCAACTTCTTATACCTGTCCACAGAGCTTGTTAGTGTACCTGTAAAATGTTTACAAGAGAGTAATGCTCATTTCATGATTAACCTGTTACAGGTGTAGTGATGCAGCACTAAAGCACATAGGAAACACACAATCTCAGACACACAGGTCATAAATATACAGTGTGTGCATGCTTGGCTCATGCACTTCTCGACTGTTGCCTACAGATGGAGGTTGACAGAGTTTCCCAGGCATGTGAGAGGTCAGGTTGTTGTCATACCATTGATTTTGGTCTGCACAGAAGATCACTTCAAATCCTTGTGGTGTCAACATAATCTTGTTTCCGTGGCAACAGCATCCACGGTTGTCAGGCAGATGGGCAATGGTGTCTCCAGCTGAGGGGCCTGCCAGGTGCCAGTGTGTGACATCTGCGTCATCTGACTATAAATAACCTTCTTTGTGGTAACTGTGCCTCCTGAAAGCAAAGCCAGTATTTACCTGGAAGGGAAACATTTTGGGATTAGAGAACAACAATGGCAGATAAAACCCAGGCCACTTGACATTCTCTGGTTCCCTCACAGTCAGAGAGTGAGTCAGGTGTAAAGTTAAGACATTTATGTAGTGGAACAAAAACAATTAATACATTTACATCAGATGCATACACTGGAATGTGTACTGTATAATTCCCGTTCCTTTTGTTAATTTCTGTCATTGTTATTTTATCCCTGAACTTACATCTCGGTGTAGCCATGACAATTGAGACTGTGAGTCTTGTAGGTGCGGTGAGACAGCTAGTATTTAAACACACCTTAAACAAATGATACAGTAGACAAGCGTATGTTGTAGTCCTATCCATGCTCAAACATTATGCAAATAATATCATCAACTTGAGTAGCCTTTTCTTCTACGTTTGTGCTCAAAGGCTGGTAAAAGACGTCATTTAGGCTAGTTGTTTTGTTGTTGTCTGTCTTTGCCTCTTGGGCAGTGAAAAGAAGAGGAACAATGTAGTGGAACAGGCTTGATTCAAGTGCAGGGACATGATTAGATGTCACAGTGCGCTGTAAATACATAGCTAAAAATTTATGTTGCCGAACAGCGAGCAGTGAAGTGTCACAGTGATTGGTTGATAACATTCCATTTGTCACATTGGATGAACTGTCAAGCTCTTTTTCTTACTTGCCTGTAAGGGCTCCTACAATCTAAGTGAATTAGTTTCCTTAAAAAACACCCTTCTTTTGACACTGAGCACATTCAGATTTGTCATACTAGAAGACCGAGTGTTTGCTAATATTAGAGTATGTATCATGTTTTGGAGCGTGCTGCCATAGCAAACTTAACGAAGCAGCTGCTGCTATCTCATTGCATGTCTCTGACATTATACTGCATTTTGAATTTCGGATCAAAATACACTATGATTTATTTTGCAAATGAATTAAACATGTTTCTATCTATGGCAGCAGATAACCTGTCTTTACACACAGGTTGAGCTGACCAGTTATCCTGGACACCAAAGGGCCTACCTGCAATAGAGATAAATTGTGATAAGAGAGGTAAGTTTGCTTTTCTGGATTGCTCCAGATGACAAATCTATGGGACAGTGGAACAAAGTTACGCAAGCCGTGGTGCTGCTGACGTCAGACTCCCTTCACTGCCTGCTTGATTGATTACAGTGTAGTGCTTGGCAGAGCTGACCACTGTGCAAAGCACTAAAACACACTATAGATTCCAGTGGCATTATACACTCTGGCCACACCTGTACAATGAAATGGAAAAACAACACACTGTGTAAAAGCAAACACACACTATTTACTGTTGATCTGATGTGTTACTACTATTGCTAAACTGAAGTCAAATTTTTTGTTAACCTAACCTCATTTTCTAATGATCTAAAAGTTAACAAATTAGTTGCAAATGGTGTTATTTTACAGAATCAGCTGTGCCATAGTCTCAGCTCACTTTACTTTGTGAAAGGGTGGAAACAGAAGGAAAGAAACTGTGACTCACACTGATGCTGCGTGGAATGTAGATGGGATTATTAGTAAGAAAATGTAAATCTAACAATGTCTGAGTGTTTAGAGACATGGATCTAAAATGGTATACAATAAAATTACAATGAAATTCCTTTGGAAGATGTGATAAAATATTTATTTTTCAAAAAAAATCAACTTCTGTATATAATAGGTTTATGTAATATATGTAAAACAGAGAACTAAGGGAGTCATGCTCACGAGTTTATCTAAATCTAAACTCTCAGTTAAATGCATGGCTCAACATATGTGACTTATAGAGACGCCTATGTAGAAGAGAGGAATGTCTGTCGATGGTAATAAAACACCTTCACTCCCATCTGTCTGTCTGGAACATCCTAACTTGAATAGCTTTGCTAGCTGGAGCTTAAATCATGTTATGCAACAGCCCCTCAACCACCCCAAGAGGACATTTAGGAGCCCTGTTGCAAATTAAGAAAATAAACCCATAATTTGATCCCCAGCTTCAGTGTTGATAGATGGTTCCATCTCAGTTGTCACTCTTGTATTTCCCTCCACTGATCAAACTTACTGCACTGCAGGAATGTAGAAACAGCTGTCTAAAATGTGCAGATACTGCTGAGTCACCACAGAAGCTTATAAAATAAATTTGATCTGTAATTTTCTCAACAAACATGCCTGGTGTGGACCTGGTGCATATTAAAACCTGCCAGAAAGTGGAACTGGCTCCTAAAATTCCCTCCACTATTTACCAGAGGGGGGAGAGGGAAGCTGTATTTAGCAGCAAGGTCTGAATTCATTTCCAGAAATCCTTCTCTTCATCTCTATCCAGTGGCCAACAGAAAAACTGTGCTTGAGGGGCAATAAATAGTGTAACACATTAGAAAGGAGCTGTGTCGATTCACTGGCCATCTTTGAGGTTACGCACAGCAGAACCATGGAGCAGCTCCCTCACAGACGAGTAAAGGTCACGATTATACCAGCACAGCTTGACTCCTGTAAATGATACTGCTGGTCTGAAAGCAGCAGCACCAGCTTTATGCAACCTCTCGGTCAAAAATAAGTTGGCAGCACATTTCTCAGACATTCATCCAGATTTTTTAAATCCTTCTCCTGGAAGAATTATGGGATCGAGTAGGAGTGTATCTCATCATGCTATGGGTCAGAAATGGCCAACTGGAGGTTTCAAAAGCAACAAAACTTCTAATGTGTCAAAAGATAAAAGTACCCTTATTACATGAATATACTGTATTTGCAGGTATGCTCAGATTCATGACAGGTATTTGTTAATATTGATAGCCAATCAAGCTTCTGAAGGAAAACAAACCTTGCTTGTTTGTTATAGTTTAGAGGTAAAGGGTTCAGATTTATGTAGAGCCGTAACTGAAAGCAGACATGAGGCAGCCATGTTGCACATTTGGCTGAAAGCTGGCCTAACTTACATACTGTGTAGAGCTATGAGCAGCTTGGCTTTCACCTCAAGATCTCAAAGATTGAAACACCTTGTAGCCTGTGTGTTACTATAATACATCTCTCTGTCTTTCTCTGTTTGTCTTTGCTACCTTCCTCCCCTTTCCATAACTGCTTTTTAAATAACAAAGATAAACACAATAAGCGATATGCAGCATATGTGCTGTGTAAAACTCTCCTGTGGCCTTTGATGTAAGTCAGACGTGCTGGTCATGCCCTTTTAGTGACTCACCCTGCACCACCTATCTCTCTGTCAACTTGTCCCATCTCTTTTTTTCTTCTCAATTTATTGACCTTGCTACATAAATGTGGGCCGTGACCATGCGCATGAAGTTCAGTGGCCTTTCTTGGCTGTTGCACAGCAGTCATCCTTCTGTAGAAAACCAGATTCTTATAGCGTATGCATATCTACAGCTGATCTGCTTGAGGATCCATCTGCCTGATAGAACATCTAATATTATTATGTTCAGTGGTGGAAGAAGTTTAAATAGCCATACGCTATAAAAATGCTCCATTACAAAGAAAAATCCTATATTCAAAATATTACTTCAGCAAAATATGTAATATTATTATTGGTAATTAATATTATTAGCAAGTACTGTGCATGAAGTATAAAAGTAAAAGTATTCACTATGCAGGGAAAATGGGATTTGTCATTATAACATAACACAGATTAGCTCAGTGATGCTTTAACATGTCGGCAGCATTTTAGTAGAGTTCTGGAGCAAATTTTATTCATACTGTCTAGTTCTTGGTGGTTTAATTAAAGCACGAGTATCATAGAATTGTACTTCAGTACACTATGTAATTAAAAGTTACTTTCTACTACTGATTAAAGGAAAACAAACATTGTAACCATCTGCTGTAAAACACCATCAAACAGCAGTATAATTTACTTAAACATATTAATATCATTTTAGAGTTTACAGATTTTTATACAGTCCAAGTAGATAATATCTTTTCAAATAAATAAAACACAAAAAAGTTGTCAAAGATTTTGAAACACTTCAGGACTGAACCATACCTTTAAAAATCAAAATGATTTAAATAATCTCTAATGCATCTTTGTTACAAAAAAAGTTTGTAGTTGCTTTACACTTTATTGTCACTTTACTGTCCCTTATTGTTCTTTTGACTGAAAGGTTTCTCTGCTGCACTTTTGTTTCCTGTGTTGCATTCGGGACAACGTACAACCTACAGTATTACTGCACTGTAGCTGCATCATAATTGTGTTTCTGATTGTTTATCTTTGTCCATTTTGTTTATTTTCATCTTATTTATTATTTTTATTTTAACAGTGCTTTACTTTTAATTTATCTTAATAAATTTTATTCTTGTTTTTAATGCTTTTGTTTTTCAGCGGTGGTTTCTTTGCCTGTATAAAACACTTTGAAATTCCTCAGTGTTTGAAATGTGCTCTATAAATAAAGTCGCTTGCCTTGATTTTTCACCTAAAATTCTACAGTCAAACAAATATTTTCAGTGTTACAAATACGTCACATTGTGCTTTATATTTACTTTCAGTGTTACAGTGGGTGTATGGGTGTAAAAGACATTAACAGGATATTTATTTTTAAAACAGGAAGCAAATCTGTTGTCAGGTGAGCCTTAATATTACAAAAAAGAATTATCAACAAAAACATTTTCAGCTAATTGATCAAGGCCATATCAAACAGTCTGCGTGATAATGGCTACTGCGATAAAGTCTGACCCTGTGGTAACCTGGTACATTAATCCAGTTCCGTGGAACATATTCAGGTTTCCATGGGAAACTTTTTCCACTTCACCACAAGCAGCCATCGTTTTCCACTGCAGGAAACTGGGGATATCTCATGTCTTTTTGTTTATCCACTTATCTAATCTGTGCACTAAAAATACTCAAACTTATCTATCAACTTATTTATCATGAGCTTTCTGTACTAAAAGGCTTTTGGGTTTTTTAAGTGTTCACAGAGTCGCCATCCTCAAACACACAGGTAATCAAATCCACCCTCGTCCCACCCAGAGAAATTCCCAGCAAAGTAGTGCTCAAACATATGGATAAGTACTGACCAAACTCCACACACAGAGAGGTTGCCATGGATGTTCTATGAGGAAATCTTTATCATATTTAATGTCAACTAGAATGCATGAGTTTGACATTTTTTCTCAGCTCTCACCCTAGCTCAGAGGTCAAACACCTTAAAGTTTTGCTGAGGGAATTTTGCAACATACACCCACTTCAAGAAAAATGAAAGCATTGCAAGAATATTAACCTAGTTGCTTGTGCTACTATTCCACGATTCAGTTATTATAACCACCACATGCAGGTTACCCACAGGATTCACATGTTTCATGTTTCACTGGCAGACACACTTTTAGCTCCACAGCAGCAATGATGCTGACAGCAGTCCTGACTGTGAGTCACCTGTTTTGTTCTGAGTGGTGCTTCACTTCTGAACTGATAAAACCAGAGACCAATGAGGAAAAGACACATGACAGTAGAGCCAAACACGGCTCGCTGAAGAGGAACAAGCATGATGAATCACATCCTCTCTATGTCATCCACATGGGCTGGATGACCCTTTCTCCGAAGTAAAATAAAGTTGGTTTGACTAAAATACATCCACTTATTTTGAAAACCATCAGCAAAGCAGGTCACTCCCAAAGGCTGACCGGGTGACCTCCAAGTCTCTATGTCACAAGAACACAAGAGCATGATACACCCCAGCAAGCAAATAGCGACCTGCATCCAGCAAGGATTCAGATAAGACACATGTCAATACTGCTGACAGATAAACTCATTATACACTGATGATACCTTTACTGGTGTTCAACTCATTGTCAGATTACTCTTCTTCTTCAAACAGTGTTTAGTCTTCTAGGCAATGATGGATTATGATCTAAATGCAACACAGCTGCTGAGGCAGTGATGCTTTGGCCCTTTCACTCTGCGAGACACTGAGGCAAAAGTCTGACCATCTGTTCTATGTTAGTTTACATAAGTCAGATGTGTCGCTGCACTACATGCCTTAGTAAGGAGTCTTTTGAAGTCCAAGGAGGTAACAGAGACATGAAAAGTTTAAGATGTCCATTCAGATTACCATATTTCACAGCAAATATGTTCTTCCTTGTGTACGGCCTGCGATTTGCAGGCATGAGATCTAATCAGTTTATGACTGCAACAATCGTGTCCTGCCTGTACTTTTATGTTTCTCCTCTGGCTGTCCTAAAAAAATGGTTTTAAAGTACAAAAACACCAAAAACTTTAATTGAATTTCATATAAACGTTTTATAATTACGCCACTCTCTTGTGTTAAGGTTACACTGATCAACACATACTACTATATCCTCCTCTTTGGAAGCATAGTGGCTACATCTAGATGCAAAAAAAGACTTTAAAGCTCCTCTGCTCACAGGTGCAGGTGCAGTCAGACTCCAGACTTGGCTGCCACAGTCCATCTGCTGTGATCGCCAGCCTTTTGGTTAGTTTGCCTCCAGTTTTCAATTTTAGTAATTGCAGGCAGAACCACTTCTTAAGGAGTATAACCCTGGGCACAAGATAAACATTATGTCATTAGCGATGCCAAGGGAGCAATTTACCACACTGATAGATGATATTCTGTCTTGCATGGCCATTCACAAGGGGAAAAAAACCTCTAAGCTGCAGCCCAAACAGCTTAATCTTATTTGGTGGGAGTATACTGTATATCACAGCACATGCAGAGACAATACAGCAGATAGTTGTATTGTCTAAAACATCCCTTTTTAATTATGGCTTGTCCTCTGGTGAATACTATACTGTACATGACCTGGTTCGTAAACTTTGACATTGTGGTATATTAACTAACATGATTAATTTTCTCTAAATATCTTCTCCTGGTTGAACTGACAGTTCTGTACCCAGTCTACAGATAAATATACTCATACACTTTCCCAACATCTCCTCAAGGACTGTGTCAGCTATTGTCAGCACTGTGCATCTCATGAACACTCTTCACAATGTACTGTGCTATATAACAAGTCATAGTTAGGCCTGTTTAATAATAATAATTTCTTTAATAGTCCCATGTAGAGACATTTCTCACCAATGGCAGTGTTATCTGAGTCACTGCTTGGCAACCAGGGGCAACTTGAGGTTTGGTCTTGCCCAAGGACACTTTGACACACTTTGACTATCTAAAGCCTTTGCATGTCAACTGTGGAAACTAGAAAAATAGTTCTTAACAGAAAGAAGAGTCAGGGTGGGGTGGAGGCAGACAGCAGAACATTTGATCATTTTTATTGACCAAATGTTACAGTTCCACTGTTACATACAAGCGCTGCTTGTAATGATCTCTACACAACCTATTGGTCTTGATGCACACTGATAAATTAATGACAAAGACTATGGTTCTTCACAAACATATGTACATCTTTAACACTCAGCAAAAATAAATAAAAGATAAAAAGGTCTTTATTCTCATGCTACTAAATTGTCCTGACTAGGCTGTGACCCTTGTTCATATCTTGCCCCCTAGTGGCACAAGTTAGCTCCTGCTACTTACTCTACCATGGTAGACAGAATGGTGCACTGCATGCTATAAGATCACAGCCATGAAAATGACTGTTTGCCGTGCAACAGCTCTCGTCAACATTCCTAAAACATTACTCTGCCTGAAATTGTCCAAATGCTGAATCTGTGCTAACCACCAACGCACTCAAGACTGGTAATGAACTGTGGATGTGCAAAGAAAAAAGTAGATCGCAGCAATAGGAAACAGTGTGTCAGTGTTAAATACTGCAATCCAAGCCCTGCTACGCTGCACACATTTGAATTTGATTTGACATCCCGCAAATCAGATAGCACAACAAAGTGGTGATTATATGATATGTGGAGCAGCTATTTCTGAAATGCTACACACTTCAGTCAATACGTAGCCTTTATCCATGAAACATATTCAGTTTACCTGCAGTATATGCAGAACGGATTACACAGTACACAAAACTATATGATTTAATAGAAATAAAATAAAAGCTGCACCTTTCCATCCTCCCTCAAACTGATTACTCATTTATCTAGTCAAACTGTATCCACCCAGTGACACTGTGATAACACAGCCCTAGATCACAGGACATAACAGAACATGACATAAGGCTAAATCTTGAAATTCCTCACTATCCTGAGCATACCAGTTTACTAACTCTAAACTGTTTTTTCTGTACCTTTCACATCTACAGTATCCCCAGATTTAAAGACCTGCTTGTATAAGATACTACCAGCAACTTAAGCACTGCCGCTTTGAGGTTCAGTGGAAGGTGTGGAGGCATGTTCTGGGTGTCTTAATAAAAAGGTGCTTAAAAATACTGCTGTATTGTGCTTCCAAGTGTTACTAAGATTTACTTCCATCCCGAAGGACACACACAACAGGACACTGTTGATGTAACTCAGAGAACATTACACCCTCCAGGTAATGCTTAATTAATTCATTAGAATCATGAGATACCCAAACGGCAACGCACAGCATGACCACCACTATGAAAAAAATTCTTCAGTAGTCAAAAACATTGTCAGTGATACAGAGCAGTGTTGAGTACAGCAGTACAAGTCCACTATGACTCTTCGTCTTCTCCTGTGGTTAGCGGGTGCTCTCTGGGTAGGATAAAGCCCATGTCAGGTGCATCGCCCAGAATCAAGGTGGTGTGGCTCAATGAAGGTGAGGGAGAAGCCAGACGAAAGGCTGGGTTGATGGAGTGCAGCGAGTCCCTCCTGCTGCTTCTACTGAACGGGGGACAAGGCGTAACCACGGAATGGCAGGCATGGTGTCGTGAGCAGCCTGCAGAAGGTAAAGGCTCTGTTGAAGGTGCTGCTGTGTTGGAACCCTCCAGACCCAGAGGGGTGGTCTTTGGGATGCCAGGGGGGCACAGGCCTTGAAATTCAGAGGAGTGGACCATCCTTTCCAGTACATCCTTGGTGCTCTGAGTGCACTGTGGGTAGAAGAAAAACAGGAAAGTGGGCCACATCTTCAGTTTGTGTCATAAAAGGCAAAGCTGACATGACAGCAGTAAAAACAGGACAAATACAAAGTAAATTCTGCATTGTGATTAAAATGATTAGCTAACAAGTCATCACAGTGAAAGCAGTGGCTGCACTAATAAAAGCACTGTCAACAGACTGAAATGTAGAAGCATGGAGGCAGTGAGTTAGATGCAGAAAAGCAATCAGAAGGAACCGTATGGAACAAGAGTAAAGAAATATGTAGATTTGTGCAGAGAGGCAGCTTCATCCTGTGGTTCCTGTGGCTCTGACAGGAGTAGAAAGGGAGGTCAACTTTATGCAGACTTGCATTTGTTTGTCGCCATGCATGAACAATAAAGCCCCAGACAAATGAGAAAAGCACCTCATCTAACTACATCAGCCTTAAACATGAGCAAGTGAACAAATATTAAATGAATGATAGTGAAGCATGCACAATCAAGTATGACAGCGCGCCCACTTGCACCATCATAAGAAATCATGATCTGCCCTGACAGTGTTAGTGCTTATGCAGAAAAAAATGGAAAAGAAATAACTCAAAAGATGGAAACAGCTCCAAACCTAAACAGCAACTCTAATGACAGCGAAGGGATGTTGTGACTGGTTTATAGTTCAACCCTACTCTTACCATCGACCGTCTACATGCAGCAGCGCCCCTCAGGCTGTGCAGGACAAAGCAACATCCTGACAGTTCTCCTCCTAGCAGGGTGGAGCGGACACAAGTCTGAGTGCCAAATCTTTCATCCAGGTATACAACTCAAGTGTTTATAATAAATAAACCTGCTCACTAAACGATACCATTATTATAAACAGAATGACCTTAGAATACACAATGTTTTACACACATCTCAAAACCTGCAGTAAGGCACATCGAGTAGAAAAATTAAGAGGCAAAACAAACTCAAAACAGACCCAAACCGCAAAAATAATGTTTATTTGACACATAAATGAACACTTTATGCTTGTTAGGTAAAAATAAAATAAAATAGAAATCAAGATTTTCAAAAATAAAGCAATATAACTAATAACATACAGTAAAACAGTTGATATGTTGACAGTATTGAGAGAATCTCATTCAAGGCACATGACAGATGATCTGTGATAAAGTGCTGATGAATCCAATATGATCTCATCACAAGCTGCATGTCCAGTAAAAGCAGTAATCAGGTCGTTTGCGTGCATACACCTTCAGCGCATCCACACCAAGCAAACACAGTAGCACAGTAACAAGGAGGTAGATACAGCAACATGTTGAACTGCTAAAAGTGTAAAAAAACAAGTATTTAAAAGGTGCAAGAATTAAAAATTACCATCCCACAGCACAAAACAGCCACAACACATCTCTGACAGCCTGGCAGGGTTTACAATGGCCTGAGTAAACGGTTCAGTTTCTGGCTGTTAAAGCTATCTGCCCACTTTCTTCTTTATTTTACTGATTAATGATGTCAAACAGTTACAAGTGACTTTAGAGATGTTTTGTTCTAATGCCAATAGGACAATTGTCACCAGCGCTGCCATTTCAACATGTTGCTGAAATAACAGTGAAATATGAGAATGACACTTCAGCAGTTCTACTTTGACGATCTATTCTATGCCTGTACCAAACCAGCATAAGATGAGCCCTAGTAATGTTGTTCAAGTCCAGTCATAGTCCTCTTAATATGCCAGCTAACAGACAACCCAACTGGGCCTCCATTATTACAAAACCATGCTTCATTCTTTCATATATATATATATATATAAAAAAAAAAAAATAATTAAATGTGCAACTTTAACACTTAGCACAAATTCAACTACATGTTGGCAACTCTACTTGGGGCTGAAGCTGGAAGTCTGGAGGATGAACACATGGAGACAGAGTGGAGAAGGCACATAGGGGGCTATTATAACACAGGAAGTATGGGACGGTCAGGACTTGGGAGGGACCATAAGCTGGTTCATCCTACCATGTGTGTGCCATTCTTGGCCGCAAAGGGAGGCAGCTCTATCTCCGAGGTAGAGGCAGCAGGGCCTGCCTCATCAGGAGGCAGGAATCCTCTTCTGTCAATCAGACTAGAGAGCAGAACATAAGGTTATATTGTAATGGACTGATGGAAAACATGGACTGAACCTAAAAGAAAATGTTTCTAGACCCTGAGCTGATAATGTGATGAGTGAGGCATTGGGTAAACTTTAGAGGAAATAAAAGAAAAATGTGTGTGGGGATGATGGGGAGTCCTGATGCCTTTACTTACCTTGGGGGCATGGGGCCACATAATGTTGCACAGCAGTTGGTTATAATACTGTTGTAACTGTATGGGTTCCCAGAGTCCTCTGTCCCCCTTTTACTCGACCAAGAGCCCTTTATCTGCGTAATGAACCAAGAAAGCATGTTGTCACTTAGTAGATACGTTTTCTCAATCCTGAACTGAACTGTTATATAAAGGTTACGAATACTAACATCTTCATTTGTTGTGAGGTTGGATGCAACTAAGTAGGTATGGAAGCCTGAGAGGCCCAGTATAGACCAGATGGAAAAGAAACAAATCACCAGCTCCACCACAGTACACGAGGAAGTGTCAAGGCACAACGACATCACCATTATCAATGATTAATAAAGGCATGTGAGAATTAAAGCAATGTGAGTAACATCTATGAATGTGTGCAGGCTAGTTGTTTCCCGGACAAACTTTTTCTCACTCTCAACTATCCTTTGCACAAAGTACACCTGTAAGAAGCAGTTCAGCTACCTTATGTGTAATGTCCTTTCTCATAATACTATCCAATAAATGTGAACAAGAATTTATTTCATTCTGCGAGAAGCTGCTCGCAGAATGAAATTAATTCTTGAGTGCGATCCCACTTCACATTTATGCAATGCTTTCCCACCATTTTACTAAACATCCCACACATGCACTTCACAGCAGACAAAGGCAAATGTGTGTATTATTTCTAAATATAGCAAGGTACACACAGGCACATTCACAAACATGTCATACACATCATACATACCTTGTGGCAATTCACCCACACCCTGTCAGTGAACAAGAAATTAAACCACTCTGTAGTCATGCAGTCTATATTTGTCCAGCCGCTGACATCATCTCACAAGGACATGAGGCAGCAAACCTACTACTGGAAAGCCAAATGCCTAAAAGTGCAGCTTTGCTGCAAGCTAACTCTCTGATCCTATTATGTGTAGGCTTAGACTGAGGAGCAGTGGGAAAGGCCTTGTCAACGGTGTAATTTCTTGGCAAAAACAACAGCAAATTCAAAAGCATCGGATTATGTAGTATATGCAAAGGATATCTGGCAGGGCTCTCTTGAATGGCTTGAAGAATGCTTTTACCTGCTTGATAGCCTGGAGAGAAAGACAAATCAGAACAAATCTTAAAGTAGTTCTTGATAACACGACAGAACGATTGTACAAACACTACGTGAGAGTGAGTGAGAATACTTACGCAGGGTAATGTGTGTGATGACGCAACCAAATATGAAAGATGTCAGAAATGACAGAGAGACGATGAAGCTGTAGAAAAAGCGGTAATTTCGCTTGCCCACACAGTTCCCCACCCACGGGCAGTGATGATCAAACCGTTCTGAGGGTGAAAAATACCAGAAAATATGGACAGAACAGTTAGTAAATCTTAATGTTCACAGGTAACTTGATATGTTTCATGGCCTCCACTTTAAAGCACACAGTAAGTGTACTATAAAGTCAAAGAAATGCAACATGCCAAAAGACCCCCTTAAATTTTTCACTCTTTGTTATATTGCAGCCATATGCTAAAATCATTTAAGTTCATTTTTTCCTCATTAATGTACACACAGCACCCCATATTGACAGAAAAACACAGCATTTTTGACATTTTTGCAGATTTATTAAAGGCCTGGTCAACGTGATGGGAAGAAAAAAAAAATTTAACATGAGGTTTGTGCGTGTTGTGTTTGTTGGGCCAGGTAGCTTTTAGGGGAAAAATTAACCATTAATCAATTAATCAGTAAAACAGGAGGTAGATTCATCAATAGAAAAATGGTTGTTAGTGGCAGCACTAATTGCATTAAGTGATAACTTCACAACACATCCTTACCCACACAGTTGTCACAAAGGCTGCAGTGGGAGGTCCGAGGGGGGCGGAACATTTTACAAGTGAAGCAGTATTTGAGCTTTACCACCTGCTGATTGATAAGGATCTCCTTGGTCCGTGGAGGAGGGCGATAAGTAGATGATCCTGAGGTATCTTAAAATAGAGAAGTACAAGGGGAGAGACTCATATTTGCACATTTGATCTATACAGTTCCCCCAGGAAACAATCAAATGTTATAATAAGAGATATATAAAAACAAATCAAGCTGTGTCTGGCTTTTAGGATCTTCAACCATGATAAAAAGTAAGCTGCTTAGGTGCTGATCTGCACTTCAACAGCAAATGCATTCCTCAGACATCCCCCACAGGGCAAAGCTCTTTTATCCCACCTGTCCCACAGCAAGTCTGCTAGAGTGCACCTCACCTATCTGCTTCTCTATGTCTGCAGCTTCATCTGGGGTGGCCCTAGGTAGAATCCCTGGGTCTGTAAAACTGGTTCGCAGCAGGGAGATGGTCACAAATAGAAAAAGCATCCCACCAATCACAGGTATAAAGACAGTCAGATGCTCCACAAGAAACGGGCAACTATAAAAGAAAGAGACGAGCCTGCTTGAGTCAAAACCAACTTTAGCCCTCAAATGTATTAACACGGTACACAGGTGAAAACCAATAACATAATGCAATTGGACAATCTCCACTTGCATGTCAGCAAAAACCTTTTAGGTTGCAATCAAGTCTCACGGGAAAGACAGATGTAGAAGAACATTTGCAGTTACTCACTCGAATGCAAAGAAAAGGCAACAAGTGACAATAATAAGGCCCAGTGTCAGAGGAAGGACACCACTTTGTCTGGCCAGGATGAACCGTCCATCGCAGAGAAACCTGTTCTTTCCTGGGAACACTTCCCATTTCCTCCGCAGTCGCTGCACTTTCTTCACGGTGTGGATCTGTGCCGACGAGGGTGATACCGTCAGCGCCCGAGGGTCGATCTGCTGGTACTCGCAGTTCTTCATCATGTAAACGGTATCGACACGGTTCGGAGGTAGCTAAAGGCACACACAAAACTATTTCTCGCTACGTGTTCGAGAGACAGTAGTTTCAAGATTCCGGCATTATACGCTGATATTTTGCTTGTTCGGTGAGCGTTCAACTACTCACCTTTAAAGCTAACGTTAGCGGTAGCTAGCTAGCGCCCCAGCAAAAGCATTCTTTTCCGTAGTTGAGTGTTATGAGCTGACCAGTTCCAGAGTTAACTCAAGGTTAACAACCATCTTTGGTATTGAAATTAAAACAGCCTATAAATATTAGTACTCATTTTAATATATAAGGTCGTCTTTTAACACGAAATCAACACAAACAAACGAGCTTCAGCTTGATGCAGCAGCAGTTTATGCTTCCACTTCCTTTTTTTCTTCTTCTTTTTCCTCTTCATCTTTTTCTTCTTCTTCTTTTTCCGTTGTTTAATGGCGCTTGGCAAATAGCTTTACGTGCATTACCGCCACCTTCCACACTGGAGTGTGGATCAGTACGATCTACTACTATAATAAAATAACCTCACTTAGTTCACATTATATTGTTTTGCTCAGTCCTGTACTCTCTAAAACCCTAAGAAGTTCTTTGTATCCTATATCCCCTGAGTTTTCTTTCAACACCTCCATTAAATTAAAGTTCATTCCATCGCTTTGAACTGTATTTTTATATATAACTCCCTCACCCACCTGAACCTGGGACAAACAATATGTTCCTACAGTTTCCTGTACCCTACACAACTCACATTCCCCTGTATTATGCTTCTTCATCAACTTCAATGTACTTTTCAAACCAGTATGCCCAAATCTCAGTCTTGATATTATATTGTCTTCCTTCCTATTCCTAGTACTTCCTCTCATTTCTCCTGCATCCCTTTGGAGTTCACATTTCCTTTTTCTTTGGCTGTCAATAACCTTACACCACAGCGTGAACATCGAGGTATCAACCCAAGTCTCATTGCTGACTTGGAGCAAAAACACATCAGTTATGGGGGGAGATGATTTGTAGATCAGTGGTAAACCCCAGCAACAGCACAGCGATAATCTGGAGTGGCATAAGTAGATCTAGGTGCTGTGTTTTCACTACGCAAATTAATTAAAGCCCAGATAGAAAATATAATAATTCAGTTAAAATGCTGTTTTAATTCTACATAAAACACCCCTAAAGGAAAACATTTGAAATGTTAGGGGCAGTGATGTAATTTCATACACAGTAACAACACACAGTATGTGCAAGCATCATGAGGGGTAAGTGGACAGTACATTTTCTTTTTTTGTAAGTAAACCATGAAAGAACAAAACTGATTACACACCGTGTAGACGGAAAGAAAATCTTGAGTGTGAAAAATTAACATATCTCAAGTAAATGTTTGACTTGCCTCTGAATTATTCATCACAATTAGTTTAAATTTTATACTCAAGTCTAACTTTGCTAGCTCAACTTTAGCTACACATGTTTACAACAAAAATGCAAACAGAAATTTTACATTATGCTTCAAGAAAGAAATACCTTCAAATAAAAATAAAACTGAGGGTCCTTTCACAGGAATAAAATCTTTATTGTCCATTCACAAATCCAAAAGTCCCAAAACTATAACATCATATAATTCTTCCAAACATGCAGCACAATATTGAACTAAGTAAAAAGTAGTTTTTTTCCAAGTGGAACCACAGTCTTTCCCAAGTTTACAACCAAACAGTGTTCAATAAAATTTCAGATGCATTTTAAATAACTACAAACACATTTGACTAAGATGTGCAAGCTTGTTAACTATTGAATGAATAAGTTTGCATTACAAATGCTATCATGTCAATATGTTCTATGTAGGACTGGACAACATAACCAGAATATGAGTGTTGTGGTACTCTACCTTTCTTTGTTTTGGATTTGCTTATCCAAATACAAGTTACAGCGATTTTCTGTGACACTGACAAAATGTTGCATTCATGTATTCAGTAGCTTTGAACTGCTGTTGTACTGAACAATTTAACAACTGATATAAAAAACTGACCAGTGATGATGATGATGATGATAATGTACTCAACACACTTGTGTGTGGATTCATAGCTTTTAATATATGGCACATAGCTCAGTCCTATATAGAACAATTGCATTTAAAGCTCAGGGTAATGTCTAAAGTCATGTCCATGGCAAGAAGTTACAATGCAGTGCGAGGCCCAGCACCCAGTACGAGAGGAAATATCCCAGTATGCTCTGTGTGGTAGGAGAACAGGTTTTAAAGTGATGCAGCAGTGTAGTAATGGGGTTTTGAGGTGTATGCTTGCATCCATTTCTGGAATGCACCTGCAACTGTACGCTAGGATATGATGTTTTCCTTCGATGAAGAAGCGGCTCATTGAGGAGGAGCAGATGTGCGCTTATCCAGAAGGGCACAGGAGAAGAGGAGGCCATGAATCTTGTTAGAACCTGGAAATGTAGAGTGAAAATAGGAATGAGTGTAATTAACTCCCCCCCACCACCCAGATGGATTCAACTCCCCACAAGAAGGTGATTAAATGATTTACTTACCTGCACGTGCATGCACAATGTTCCAAACACCAGAAGTACTGTTGAGTGTACAACATACACAAACACTCTTGGGTTGAAGAATCCTGGTATGGGTTTGTCAAGTCCTTTAGTTCCACTTGTCTCCCACAGTCCAAGTCTCAGACACAGCTCTGGATTAGCTTGAAAATATGCATAAACTGCCATTATGCCGAGAGTAGCCATCGGTAGAGCCAGAATAAAGTTTGGTATCTGCTTCAACTCAAAGTAACGGAGGAAGCCCACATCCCAGTAAACATCCTGAATATGAGAATAAAGCAGGGGGAAGGGTCTCATGCACCAGAGGGGTGGTGGACCATTTTCATCTGGAAGCCGGTAACCCTTCCTTTCAGCAAGCGAGAGAAGAGCAGGAGGGATCCGCTCCAACGAGAAAGATGGTGTGCAAAATGTCCTATACCCATAGTACTGGAAAGCACCAAAGGGAAGGGCAATAACTGCTGTTCCTAAGAGGGAGGTGAGCAGGAAACAGATGATGGCCCAAATGTAACGAAAGACTTTATAGTGACCTTTTATTGTTGTACGATATGCCTGAATCTGAGAAATGGCGTGCAGTGATGGAAGATAGAGTAGAAATCCTATGTTGACAAGTCCATTGGATCGTGCTGCAGTGGCTATACTGAGGGCCAGGCAGGCTCGGAAGGTGAATCCTTTCTCTAGGAGGTACAGGCCACCAAATGTGAGGGCAGCAAAGAGGCTCTCTGAGTATCCAGCAGTCATGAAAACATTGGCAGGCGTGATGCAGTAGAGAAGGCTGGAGAGCAGAGCGAGACGTCTGTCCTGAAGAACTATTCTACTAAGCGCATGCAAGGCAACCACACT